ACTGATCAGCTTAGAAACTGCATGTGCACTCTTAAGGGCAGTGTAAACGTAATGCTAATGATCTCATAGCCATAGCTAAGAGTTTAGCATAGATCATGTGACTGCTCACTTCCTATCCTCTTGCAAGATGAAGGTATTATCGGCATCTTGATTTGTATGAATTGGTTTTAAAAATGAATCCTGATTAGCATTAATCACTTGAAGTTATATATAATCATAATTAAGGCTGTAACTTGCACAGGAAAGGATAGGAATTGTGTGGCCAGTGTGTGCCCACTTATTTACGTTTGGTTTAAAGGGAGCAGGAATGCACAGAAGCATACTCTTTCAATATTTTAAACTACAACTTCCAGCATTCATAATAGCTAGCATAACTGGCTGGGGCTCATGGAAGTTAAAATCCAAAATATCTGGAGGTCACTAAGTTGAGGGCAGTTGTTCTTTAAATAATACTTGAAAGAAGAGACAGTGTTCCAAAGTCTATTATTTTTCTGTAGATACCTAAAAAATTTGGAATGTTTGCTACTCTAAGAACTTTATTTGGGCATAATTGTTAATTTCTGGGCTCCTTTTTTAAAAGGAGGCATACCAATAGGGTTTACTCAATCTAATCTTTTAAAATGGTAATTAATTACTTCATAATGGTAACAGCCATGATTAAGCAGTTTATTGAAAATAATATTATTTTAGTACTTTCAAGAACTTGGTATAGTTTTGATATTACAGTTTTAGTGAAGTCTTTTTGAAAATAAGCTTAAATATTTACAAATTAATTTTGAATTTAAGCAGCTCTGAACTACCAAGAGTCAAATTGAGTTTCTTTTTAACCACAATGATATTTTTATGGTACTGAACATTTCAATAATTATTCTAAATGCCTTAAAGCTTATACTGGCATAAAGATACTTGTAATCTTTAAATAATGCAACAGAAGTGAAACCATCTGTTATGAGAAAACCACTAATTTTGTTTCATGATAGACTGTCAACATCTGTTTCCAAGTTACAACAAGAATTACCTTCAGCAGCTTTCCAATATGAGCCACACGAATGATAGGATATACCTGCTTAACACACAGTAGTTCAGGTTTAGACATTGCTCCATTTGTTAAGTATGGCCACAATCCATCCAAAATTAAGCGTGTTAAAATCCCATGGACTTAAACGGATGTGAGTGTCAGTCAATAATATGTGTTTATCTATGAACTGGCCTTTAAATTAATTCTAATAATTGGTCCACCTTATACAATTTATATTAGTGTAATGCACTCTTCCTTCTGAATGCCTTTGAAAATGGTTCTGAAATTGCAACTAGTACAATATATCTGGTGGACAGTCAGATGTTGATCAGGCAATTCAGCGTATGTAGCACCGCTCCTGTACCAGTTGAATTGGCTGCCAGTGGATTTCTATGGCAGCCAATGCAAAAAGCTGGTGTTGACCTTTTCATTCCTAAATAGTTCAGGATCAGGTTACCTGAAGCATCACTTTGTTATGAACCTTAGGCTTTACAATTAGACTTAGGGGCACTACTCATAGGCCTACCAGGGAGACCTTCCAGTATGGAAGACACAAGAGGTAGAGTCTTTATAGTGATGACTCCTGGTGGTAGAAACCCTGCTTAACAAGTGTTCAAATTGTTCCTTTGGTGCAGAACTTTACATGCAATTTTAAAAGGTTGGAGATTTTTTTCTTAATCATAAATTATAAAATATCTTAAAATGACTTTTATGGAAATATTTTGGAATGAGGAGTTAAGCTGCTGTTTATATAATTGTTGATTTGGGCAGCATCCAACTGTGTTATTTCATTAAAGCAAATGACAGTGTGTTAGTACTAAACCATGCTCAAAAAGAGAATTGTGCAAGCACAACTGTTCAGGTGGTTATAAATAATTCTTTCAATTTCATTGTGCATGTGGTTGCATATTTTTGTTTAACTTAACGCACAGCTTGTTGTACAATTACTTGCACATTCTGCTTGGGGAACCCATCATGCAACTAGTTGCACAAGTATGACAGGCAAATGCTTGAACAACGGAACACTCTGATGGCATTGCACAAGCACAATTTGAGTTTGCAGAATGACACCACTGGATACTGCCCAGCGTTTTAGTTGTCATAAAATGGTTATTTTTTAGCTAACTAACTGAAGCTTAATCCAGGTAAGAGTGAGATGCCATTAGTCAGTGCTTCCTCTGACGCGATGGGGGGTGTTTAATCTGTTCTGGATGAGGAAGGAGCAGCTACATAGCTTGTGGGTCCACTATGTTTCCAGAGACTAAAGTGTCCTCAGTGGCATGAAGTGCGCCTCTACCTGGGCAGGTAGTGTATGGACTCAGTAATCTATGCAATCTAGATTATTGTAACACACACTACATAAGGATACCCTTGAAGACAGTTTAGAAGCTGCAACTCATACAAAATAGGTTTCCCTAGCATTGAGAAATTTCAGGAACATGTTTTTCTTCCCACAAAAGTGTAATTGGGCAGAATGGACATAATGAGCTGTATTCAAACATTTATTATTAATGAAATTTATTCCCTTCCATTTTTTCCTTCCAAAGAGCTCAAGGCAGATCACCTAATTCTTCTCTTCCTCTCAATCTTATCCTCACCAACAACCCTGTGAGGTAGGCTGGGTTGAGAGTCTGTGACTGGCATAAAGTCACCCAGTGATCTCCATGCCTGAGTGAGGACTAAATACCAGAATGCCTAAGTCCCAGTCCCATGCTCTTAACCACTACACTATGCTACTGTACATACTGGCTTTTTCTTATGCCCTTCCATAAGTAGAAGCTCCTCCTGCTGGAGTTAGGAAACATATAGATGCATCCCTATGTATTAAATAGTTAACTTTTCCAGTGATTAAAGAAGAAAATTCTATTAACTTGTTAAATCATCACTCTCTTACAAGAATTCAATACCTGAATCCCTAATCTCTACAAATACTTTCCATAAATTACTTTCCATACATTAGGATACATAACATATAAACGTGCATGGACAAAATCAATTAATTTTCATTTTGCTTTGTCACGTTCATCTACTTATAGCATTAAAGGTTTCTAATCCTCGCATAATGGGTAAGAATTTTGATAACTATTTAATTCACTCCTTAAGGAAGTCAGAACAACCCCCTCTTAGTTCAGATGGGCCGTAAAGACTATATTGTCTGTCAATATTTTCACAGTTTTAATGTTGTTTTCTGATTTTATTGTAAAGAATACCTTGCCTTCTGATTTATTCTAAATGTTGTATTCTAACTATTGTCCATCACTTCAACTGCCTGGCAGTCGGAGAGATAATTTCTAATTAATGTTCACGAAGTAAACCTTGATTTAGCCAGTGACTAAATAATATGGAGACTGTAAATAAAGTTCACAATTTCTAACATCCCTCTGTTGAAGACAAAGAACTTTTTTCTTCTTTATTTACAACATTCAGCACAATAAAATTAAGATTTTAAAACATTTCAAAATACCATCTTATTATTTATTTCAAAAATATTGGGCTGTTATACAGTCTGCCTTGAGAATGTTTGGAAGCTACTCCTTTAAACTTCCAAGAACTCTAATTTGCTGCCTTTTATTAATACTTCGGGCATGTAGTTACAGCAACTATGTAGATTTCCAAGTGCTGACAAATGCACTTTTTATGAAAGGGATTTTGAATCCAAACAGGCCCACACAACTTAATTCTATGGGACTGTTTCAAAGAATGGCAGCCCTTCAGCAATTATGTTTGCAAAGAATCCGTTTAGGCAAAGCTCAACATGTCTCAAAAGGGGCAGATGTTCTGTTCAAAGTCAAAGGCTTCAGGCAAAACAGTCTCTGAAGCAGATTCTCTGTATAGCTGTATTTCTGCATCTTTCGCACACACTCTTTAAAATATACATGAGGGGGTTTTTGGTCAAAAAGTTGACCAAGTTATCTTAGGGTCTATATGATGAAATACCAAGTATACAGTAACACAGCAGGTATAAAAAAGCTTTTAACACACAGACACACAAAACCAACACACCCTTAAATATGCTTACAAAAACTTTACTTTTTTGTAATCTCTTCTCTCCCAAGAAATGTTGTTTAAAGACCAACACTTAGCCCAATAGCTGACTTTTATTCAAAGGCCCCTAAAGCCACATCAAGTAGTAGACATAGAGTCAAAAATACTAGCATTCTACAATTTTTCCTTTAATAATTAACATTTCTAGTCATAAAAGTAACTTTGCCCAATGTAAAGGCTGTTCACATTGTTAGAACATGGATAGTTTGAAGCATACATTATGAAAAAATAATTTAAAATGTTCACTAAAGTTTGGGAAGTGTATCAGTACTCACCAGTAGCTATGTTTCTTTCTTTTTATCCCCAACATTAAAATTTTTTGACTTTGTGTTTGAAAACAGAACTTACAGTACTCCATAAAATGGCCACGGTGCTTAGTTAGCAAAACCAAAGTTAAAAAGGCAGCACATTATGATTTAAAGGAAGAACAAGAACAAAAGACTAATAATCAAACGAGCTTTCATCAAGAACTGAAGCTTAAAATATCCATCCTGGGGTCTTCAATCATGGAGCAACACTGGAAGTTGGCTGCTGATTCTCTGACACTGTTGCAGTAAAAATTCTGTCACATTCTTGCCTTCTGCATGGTTTTTCCAGCTACAGCAGATCAGAACAAGCTAGCAAACAACAGCTTCCCAAATGAAAGCTCTAAATTCTTCTTCTGCAGTGAAATGAACTAAGTTTCAGTGCTCAAGAGTGAGTGACAGTATTGCCAGCCAATCAGCTCATGTTTTTCAGGAAAATCACCCCTTAATTCATTCACAATTAAGTCATCTGACACTATTTAAAATGCTATTGGCTTAGAATGAGCATAGTGTTTTAGCCCAATCAGGAAAAGGCCACCTATCTATGTCTTCTTGGTTTTAAGACATCCTTGACTATTTTATACACTGTGGATATTAAAAAAAAAAGAAAAGAAACACGAATGCAGACTTACCAGAGCTTCCCAACTATTAAAGGGCCGTAGCTCTATTATTCTCTGAGCCTTCTTCTGAGAACACTGTGGGATCAAAGTGAGTTCACCAAGTGAGGCATCTTGTAGAAAGCTAAGTATTTTAGCTCTGTAACCATCTTCCATCACTTCATCACCGCTGCTGTAGTCCTCATCAAGGGAGCTACCAGCTTCCGAAGCAGATTCGTATTCCAAATCCTGCGAGTCTTTTTTAGTATTCCAAATTTTTTTCTTTTTATCTTTTTTCCTGAAGCCATTCTGAGATTTTGTGGGTTTTTCTTTGAGCATCACATTAGCATCATTCTCAGGATAATGGGTATTATTAATGGATACCCCCTTTCCATTTGAAACTTCACTTTTGGAAGGATATTGTGTATCTGTATATACAACATTAAAAATAGACAGTAAAAATTGAGATGAGACTACAAGGTACCAACATATATCTCCTACAATGAGCTTCAATTTCCTTACCCTAAAACTGTTACCCTATAGTTAACAACTAATACTTTAACACAGTAGATCATTGTACAACAGCATTTACAAGCTTAAATATCATTGTCAGTAATATATATACAGTGGACAGAGTTTGCAAAACTAGGAATGGATATTTGCTCCTGAAGGTCTGTATGTATCTTACTTGATTAAATCAGAGCATTAACTAGGCAGTGTATCTCCAAAGTTAAGTTTATTAAATCTAATGTCTTGTTCCAAAGTAAATTTGTTGACACTTTTAAACACAAAGTGTTATTTTGCACTTTTGTAAATTAATCTGATTTAATAAAATGATCATAGATACATTTTCAGGAATAGTAAAATGTTTTCTTGTATAATTAGTTCAGATAGCTCCTGCATTCCTTTTGTACTCCTATATGTTTTAAAAATACATTACCTGGATCAAAATATTTTCATAAAATAATTTTTAGCTTTTTAGGTTGCAAACTCTTTTTGTGTTCTCCTTCTAGCACTATGGTAGCTTATTTAATGAAATGCTACATTATTTTGTAATATTTCTCAGTAGTAATAAATATTGCTTACAGGGGACAGATAAAGAATTCAAATTTATAGCAAGAATTTGCTGTAAAACAGTGTGCCACAGTAAAGTGTGCCAACCACTACATCTGAATGTATATACCAGACTTTTTACAGAGGCAAGTGGAATGCATTTAACATAACTAAATATTCATAATCCTAGTACGGTCGGCTAAGCAATACTAAGAATTGTAGGATTTTTTCCCTGTCTAAACAATGCATTTGAGTGCATTAAGCCCACAGTCCAAGAAAAGGGAGGTAAAGAAAGCTTATATATGGATTCTCCCATATATAAATACATAATACTTTTGTCTTTATTTTCATGTGTGTATGTGAGAGAGGTGTGTGGTTGGGCTCAGGGTCTTCATCAGTAACCCCTGCTGCTGGGAAGAGTTAAGAGTTCAAGTCATCCCAAATAAGTTTTTTTTCCTTTGTATAAACACATCTACAATTGATGGATGATATACAATCATGTAAATAAATAACCTGGTGCTGCCTGGCAGTGGTCATTATGCAGCACACACCAAAGATAGCATTATTTCTCCTATAGTTACTGCAACACCAAAGGGCAGTAGCTGGAACTAACAGTAGCTTCTAAGGACTGGGAAAGGGGATTTTACCATCAGTTAGTCACAACTGCCTCAAAAAAATCCTTGAATTTACCACAAGTTAATATGTTTGTCAGTTGCCTTGAAGGCCAGCCTGGAAAATAGGATACACATATTTTAAAATCAATAAATATGCTCCAGATTTTGTATTTTTATGAATGATTAACTTCTTGCTTCTTACATACTCAAACCTGTTCTCATAAAACAGAACAGTCATGTTGTATCAGATCAAGGATCCATTCTGTTTACACAGGGGCACCCCTGTGAAAAAGCACCTTTCATCCATGTTCCCCATCAACTGGTGTGCAAAGGCATACCACCTCTGATAATGGAGAGAGCAAAATAGGATTGGTGGCCATTGGCAGCCTTTTCCTCCATGAATTTGTCCATTTTTTTTAAAGCCCTTCAAATTGGTGGCCAACACTACATCTGGTGGAAGTGATTCCCATAGTTTTTTAACTCTGTGTTGTGCTATGTGTCTTCTTTATCTGTCTTAAATCTTCCACCAATCTTCCCCAACACCTCTGAGTGTTCAGAAAGTGTTGCTCACTTTTCAAACTCTTGCCTAGAACGCAAAATTATAAACTAGGCAGTTATAGAAACACATGCACTAATTTATCCTATGGTCCAAGAGTTGTATATTCACATTTTGATTTAATGTAACAAATTCTTACTCCACAACAGATGTACATGTACGTGTCAAAACTGAAGACCTTTCCTAATTGAAGAAGTCAGTGTTCTGCTATCTGTAACATGGGGATTTCCCATCCAAATGGCATAACATTTGCAAGCTTTCACCCCCTTTGTCTAAGTCATTTGTAAAAGTCAAGGAATGTTCCAGAGAGTTGTTTGCATGTAAAAACAACTGTTTGGATGTGTTAATGGCTGGGTTGTTCAGAACAGTGGTCCAGGTTTGTATGCATAGAAGGAAATGATCATGAGTTGCCCAGTAAAGGCATTAAGAGGAAGGTGCACTTCCAGACAACCCATTAAATTGTTAGACTGATAGACTATTATTACATGAAAACGATCCTGGTGTGAGGGCCTGTAGGCAGACACAACCAGTAAACTTTCCCTACAAAGAAGAGATTTAGGCACACATATACAAGGTTCTTACCAAAGGATAAGAGGCTACATTAGTAAAAATAAGTTGCAATAGTTCTGCCCACTTTAGCTGAAGATTCTCATTCAAGATGACTAATAGATGACTAACAAATGTTCCTACTCCACAAAAGTATTTATGATTCAATTTAGATTTTCATGTTAACATCAAATAAAGTTTTTAAAAGGAAAAATGACTATATCAAAACATTACTTACAAGAAATGCAACTTGCTAGGAAAAATAAAGCAAATATGGACAGTAAAGAAGTTTTATGCTTCTCAAATGAATGATATAGATAAATGGAAATGAAATAATAGTCACCATCTTGATCTTCCATAAATACTTTTAAAGACTCCAGAGCTTCCTGATATATCCAGTTGTGTTCCCGAAGCACATCTCTCAGTTCCTTAAGAAAAATATCACAGGAAATCTTGTATAGCACATAATTAATGACCTATAAATAGTAAAGCATTCTCACAACTGTACAAAATTAATTTTATACATATTATAATCAGGAAAAAAAGCTTTAGGAATCTTTAGGAATATAGTTAGAATCTTCCCACTTGTTAATAACTTTCCTTTTTACCTCATACGACAGAGTGACAGCTCTGAATCTTATGCTAAATTTCATATTCTAAAACTGAAATCATTGTCCAACTATCAAATCCTATATAGCCCAAAAGGCATAATCCACCCAAAAAACAGCACTATCCATGGGGCTACTTGGGGAGGTAGAACTCCCTAACTAGGTAGGAGAAACAAAGGTAGTCCAATGAGGACTGAGTATGCCGCTTGATCAAATGTCATATATGGTAAGCAGGAAATTAATTGCAGGTGGATGGCCCTAGAAAAGGGTATGGCTTGCATGCAATCAGCTTTGGAGCATTCCGCAACCGCAACTTTCGGTTACAGGTCCCTTAGATTTTAACCATTACGCCTTTGAACAATACTTCCACCAAAACATAGCTAGGTAACAAACTGAGCAAGACAATTCTCCTAATGCAGGAGAAAGAAAAAAAGCCAGATTTTTTTTTTACCCTGGAACATACCTACTGTACAATCCTATGCTTGCTTACTTGGGGCTAAGCCTCATTGAGATCAATGAGGCTTGCTCCCAATTAAGTGTACAAAAGACTGCAACCATACTTAAGCAAAACTGGCTCAAAGCCATGTTGATTCAATTCTAATGTAGTTCCAAGTACTCAGAGCTCTAGCTGCCAAACAGGAGGAGAACACATGCTGCATATGCCTTCATGCAAACATTTCCACATGCCAAGAAGCCAAAGTGATGAAATGTGGTTTGCATTCTGCAAATATTTTTTTCCAAAGGGAGGGACAGCTAATAATAGTAGCTAGAATACAGATTTATTTAGAATTTCTGAATAGGAGTTACATAAACATACATTTTGTACCAAACATACATACCTCTTTATCCAAACTGGGAAATTCCTTGTGTAGTTTGCTTACCAAATTTTCACGTTTTTCCCACTGATTTTCAGGACTTTGCAGCTATAGTTCAAAAAAGTTTCATTTACTTAACATTCATTCGACAATACTAATTAAAATACTACTAAGCCACACCCCCATACCTATAAGGTAAAGGTTTCCCCTTGACATTAAGTCATGTCATTAAGGACAGTCATTGAGTCCTCTAGGGGGTGGTGTTCATCTCCGTTTCCTAGTCAAGGGAGCCAGCATTTGTCCACAGACACTTCCTGTGGTCATGTGGCTGGCATGACTAAACACTGAGATGCAGGGAACGCTGTTAGCTTCCACCGAAGAGGTATCTATTTATCTACTTTCATTTGCATGCTTTCAAAGTGCTAGGTTGGCAGGAGCTGGAACAAAGCAAAGAGGGCTCACCCCATCACACAGATTTGAATTGTTGGCCATCCAATCAACAAGTCCAGTGGCTTAGGGGTTTAAACCACTGTGCCACCCATGTCCTATATACCTCTAAATCTACCTCTAAATCTCACATATACTTTCGCCTTAAAAGAAAACATCTGAAACCAAAATTTTGCAGCCAATATGGCTTAATTTCTGGATCCAAATGTTCCTTTCCTCCAACAGAAGCAGCAAGTATTTTAAATATTCTTACTTTTTCTCAGCGCACCTCATGTTTACAAACTGCTTATGATTACTTCAGAAAGTGAAACAGATATAAAAACCTGGCAAATTATTTACTCAGCAAAAGTTAATTAAGGTATTTCTGAATTTCCATTTCACTCAATTAATTCTTAAGACGATTTACATTAAAGGCTAAAAATAAAATTTTAAAAAATCTAAACACGAACCACAACAGAAATGATAAAATACAAGCCATTGGGAAGTCTCCAGGGGGGTACTGAGCCCCACTGATTTATTTTATCTATTATATTTTGACAAGTGAGATCCACCACTTGCGCAGATTTAGCACTTTTGAGAGCAACCATAAATTAATAAAAAACCTAGCTTATGTTCAAATTAAAGCATTCTTTAGTAAAGGCTTAGCAGAACAGAAGCACCTACTCTTCAACCCCTACCAACTTCAACATTTTAGGAAGCAGGAAACATAACAGAACCTCTGTTGAAGAATGTAGATTATAGGCAGATTAATACAGAAACAGGTAGTTTCTCAGATAAATGGGCTCTGAGGCATATATAATATATTGATTTCAGTATGAAAAGATGGCCTATCCGTCTACTTACAGGATCAAGCCTTTTCTTTTTTGTACTTTGGTCATCATTATCTTCAGGACCATCTGTATCACTTTCCTCAAGCCTCCTCTTTCGAGATCCACCTTTTAAAATAAAAAAAGGAAATAAAACTAGATTTGGAAACTATCTGCAGTGTATAATCAGAGCACTTAGAATGTTCAAGTTCCTTCTGGCAATTAATAAAAATAGCAACTCATTGCATTTATTATACAAGCAGCCAATGCAGAACAGAACCCATTCAAGAACAATCTCATGATCTTCTCTATCAAAATGAAACGTAATAGACTTTCCATCCCCATACATTTCAGAAATCTAGCACTTATTTTCTGTACATATGGCAAGTACAGAGATATAAATTTCTTCTCATCTGGATTTCCAGTCCGTTTCATATTCATAAGAAAGTTATTCCTTACATGAACATAAAGAGACATAGCTACATATGACCCTATCCTACATCTGCTGCACAAGGAAGTGGTAACAATTTCTGAATCAGCACATCATAACTATGATGTTACGTTAGATTTCACAAGATTTAGGCCATTTAAGGTGGTGCTATGTCATAACTTGAAAGGCACATGTGTACACAATTTCCTTCTATGTGTAAAGGACTTTGCTGCATCTCAACAGCAGAAACCTTCTCAAGAGCTATACTTTAGAATACATTTTGTACATTCATCCAAGTTTAAGCCCCATGGAATACAGTAACTAAGCATCCTGCAAACATGCCATGCCTCTGTTAGTAGAGTTAATAAGTAATCCTTGCTTTGCAAATGTATCGTACACTAAATTAGTATCAATACTGCATATTCATAGTTATCAAAAATAACTTATTTCCGGCCATATTTAATAGGAGAAATTTAATACAACTAAGCATTATTTAACAGTTCAGATTTCTTGAATAGTCAAAAACAGAGATAAATTTTGCTATTTAAAAAACTCCAGTTAAGTATAGAGCCTTAAATACAAAAACAGAATAAGATACTGACTGACAAAACAGGTGTTCAGCCTGTCTCTTAAAATGTGGCCAGAAACAGAGGCACCATGCCATTATGTTGAGGCATGTTTATTCTTGTTCAGCTTTTGATAAATATCCACTTTAATGTTTGCTGTCTCAGAGAAGACACCCATGTGAGAGATTGTAAGCAAAATATGAAATTTTAGTTGCAGAAAAATTGTCTGTAGAACTGGAGATCAAGTAAAAAGAAAAACACAACAGCTTGTACTCAAAACTTTCACTGCCAATTAGGCCTGCAGAACTATGTACACTTTCCCAGGAGTAAACCCCATTGAACACAGTGGGACTTACTTCTGAGTTAATATGCATAGGATTATGTTGAGGGTCCCTTTAATTTCAGAAGAAATCATTTCCACATAGATTACTACATTTTTGTATCTGCTCAGCTGTGGGCTCCCTGGGTCCTGTTGCAATACCTAGCATTCAAAATAAGCTTGATAATTCAGAGCAAATGGAATAAACAAAACACAATGAATGTTCATACAAACACATGATAAATCATGCAAAGAAATAAACTGAAGACAGCAACATGGAAGTACTACTGTTGAACATATGTGAACATAGGATGATAAAGAAAAAAAAAGAAAAAGAAAAAAAAGAACCTGCAATATGACACTTGCAAAATGGGATAGTATGATTTTAAGAACACAGGAAAAATTGCATCAAACACATGGATACAATATCACACTGAGTAATGGAACTAATGCAATTCTAAGTCAATGCATTTTAATTTTGAGATGTGGGGCTCAGCTCTCTCTGTAATCTAGCATCTTATTTTAAAAAGGGTATTGGAAAAAAGCCCATAATTTGAATTAACATTACATGTACTAAAATTACACTCTCAATGCAACAGAGATAACACAAAAGCATGCTTTTTGGTCTTTTGGTGCCTTTGATAGAAGACACTTCCAACAGTAGACTAGTATACAACCCAGTACAACAGTCTCATACTAGACGGAAAAGGTTTATAATGGAAAACGTACTTAAGAATGTTGTGACTCAACTAGGTCTTAAGTTATGTCATATTGCCTCCAGATTTTGGATTCAGATCTGTTTTGACTTTTTCTTTATAGATTTGTAGGGACAGATATGAGAAGGGGAAGGAGGACCATTCATACCTGCTGAAGACCACTATAAAGGCTCTTTCTCACTCAAGAGTCACCATCACCAGCCATTCCACCAGGCTGGACTGAGGGAGATGTAGGGAAAACAGACCCATTCCATTAGCCCTACTGAAAAATTTATTTTTCCCCTCCCCATTCCTTTTGCCTTGTATGTCATATATTTTTAGATAGTTAAGCCTGCAAAACAATCAATCTGTTTTTACAGATTGTATGTAAAGTTCCCTAGGAGCCTTTTTGTCAGAGGAGTGGGTTAAAATTTTATAAATAATTAAACCTATCAGTAAGTATTTTATTTATTTTTAAATTCATTTATATCCCATTCTATAGCCAATCAGGATTCACAGGATGGCTTATATAAATAACAACAGTTACAAGACAGCAAAATCCATAACAGCACTTGAATAAAATCACAATATTAAAATATGCAATAAAATCATTCTAATCATTAAAATTCTAAACAAATAAAATGGTTTTGGCCTGGCAATGAAATAGTGTTAGTGTCAAGTATACCTCCCTGAGAAGCAGGTTCCACAGACAGGGCGCTACCACTGAGAAGACCCTTCCCCTAGAAGCCACTCTTCTAGAATCTTTCAAAGAGGGCTCCTGGAGAAGGACCTCCGCAGATGATCTCAAGGTCTATGCAGGTGTATATGGAAAGAGACATTCCTTCAGATATTCAAACCCTAAACTGTTTAGGGCTTTGTATGTCAACATTAAAACCTTAAATCAGGCCTGAACTTTAACCAGCATCCAATGAAGAAAGTGAAAGACTGGCATTATATGATATTGTCTGCCAGTCCAAATTAGCAGCCCGGCTGCTCTATTCTGTACCAACTGAAGTATCCAAACTGTTTTTAAGGGTACAACACATTACAATAGTCCAAATGGGAAGTTGTCAGAGAATGGATTACTGTTGGAAGGCTCTGCCTGATTGTATTTTACTATTTATTATCATGTAGTTACTAGTTATTCAGGGAGTAACTTCTAATCCTATTTGAAGTTCTCTTTCAATGTTTGCAAACTTCCCTTAGACTTGGTCTCTGCTCCTATGTTGAGCTGCTACCTGCGATGTCTGGCTTTGCATTTTCCTTTCATCTCATCCATTACCCACTTGCATTTTAACCACTTCAACCCCCATTCATAATCTTTTTACAGTCAGGAATTGGACCTTGTGCATTGGTAAGTCTCTTGTTGCTCAAGCTGTATTTTCAATAACTTTGGATTTGACTTACATGGAAGTGTGGACTGGATATGAATTTAGCTGGCTAGACAGACATGCATTCAAATTGTGTTGAGGCCATATATTCTTAATATCTTGCCTCCATTTCTTTTCCGGTCCCTTTTTGTCTCTCTTATGTCTTCTTTTAAAGCAGTAGTTCAATTAGGATAGGGAACTGTCCTGTCATTCTTTGTAAAGGAAGGCATAAAGAACAAAGGTCTTGCAATTTCCAATATTTACTTGCACACACACATGGTTTAGCTAAGGACTTCTTTAGAAGGAAAGCTACTTCAACACTTGTTGAATAAGAAATCATTAAAAGAAAATGATTGTATACCTTCTTCAACCAGCTTCAGGCCAGCAGCTATAGCTTCATCCATTGTATCAGTTGACTCTATCAGCTAGAAAAATAAAACAAATATTTTTTTTCCTATTTTATGTTAGAGGCATTTTAAATATACTTTGAAGCATTTACTGTGCAATCCTATGCATATTAGCCTAGAAGAAACTCACACGGTATTCAAACACTGCAACAAGAAAAGTTTGAATCCAACAACTTATATACAGTATGAAAATTTAATGGTTTTTCATATTGTGTCATATACAGTATCTTAGTTTTGCTAGTTATCAAGAAAGGAAAAGAGCAGTGAGTAGCATTGTGGCCCTATATGAAACTGCTGGACATTCTATTTAACCACTTCTGACTTCTACGACAGGCAGTGCCCATATTCTGTTAAGCGTATCTTTACAGTTACAAAAGGTTAAAAAGTTGTTTCAGAAAGGAAGATGTTCAAGAAGCTGAAAAAACTTCTGTGCTTACCCTACGTTTTTCAGTTGACAAGAAGAATGACAATATTTCATTTTCTGTGCTGTTCTGAATGTCAAGTTTTCCATTTCAGTGGATGTTTATTTAAACCATTATCATATAATGTTTTAATCATTTTTGTCAGACACCTGGTGGTGGAGTTTGTGGGACAGTAAACTAGATAACTAGGTTAACAACCTGTTATACGAATTCAGGAGAGTGGATGATCTACAGTGTTCTAATGTGTTAAAATAGATGTAGAATTTGAAAGATGGATTTCCCAGTTTATGGCTCAGTTTTAGCCAATATGATATATTCAAGTTCTGGTGTATTTGTATAGGAAGTTTTCTTCAAACTATATCCTACCATTACTCAAGCAGATTAAATAAAGCAAAGTTCATTTCATTACTAGATTTTTGTGGATGAAAAATATCTTCCAAATATGCAAGAGAACTATATGTGGATCCTCACTGCAAAATTGGTGATAACCCAAAATTATAATATTACTGTACTTGTAATAACTCTTGGTCACTTTTTTGTGGAAAGAGTTCTTTTAGTGTTTGGAGTTTGCAGTAGTTCAGATCCTCATCTTCCTCGTCTTCCTCCTCCTTTGTAGCATCTGAAGGTTGGGCTGGTCCATTTCTTTGTAATGGTTCCTCTTCACTATCAGAAGGTTCCGAACTGACAGGTGTGAACATAAAAATATGAAGGCTATTTTAGTTGTAAAACAGAGTTTTCAAAAACATATGAACATATAGAAATATGACTTATAGGAACTAATTGTCCTCTCAACCATCAAGTTCTCAGGAGATGTAGCACTCAGACTCCAGCCATCCCATCCAGCCAATCTTAGTAGAAATAGAAGTTGTTTAGATGTTATGTTTCTTTTTAATGGATTTCTTCCCACTGCTATTAAAATCTTTTACTGTTCTATATCTATATCTATCTATCTATCTATCTATCTATCTATCTACCTATCTATATCTATATAATTTCTATGTGTAGGTGAAAGCTGATTTCTTGAAATTATTCCTTTATGGTATCAAAGCAGCATTCAAGGAAAGCACTGCCAGACATGTCCCATGGAAAATCATCTCCTACCCATCGTGAGAGGGAACTGTAAAAACAAAAGTGACATTTAAAATGGAACATTTCTTTTTATATCTGAGAATTCCTTGTGGTTCCTCAATTACAACAGCAGTGCATAGGGATAAAGAAAACAAAAATCTTTGACTTTAATTTTTAATAAGCCCTGAATTGCATCTAAATGATCCTCCAAATGATGTCAAAACACAGAAATAAGTAGCTGTATCTTACGGTGTGATGGACCGTTGCTTTAAAATTTGTAAAATTCAACCCCATAGCTTTTCATGCTGCAACTATTCATGAGAGGAAACTAGAGTTTCTTGCTGCTGCCCCCATATATGACTCACTCAATTTTTAAAAGATGATTTTGAACACTTGATTGTCTTCTTTGGCTTTGAACTTAAATGCATATGCTACCTTTGTTTTAAGGTGTGGACTTGGATTGTTTTTATCTGGCTTGCTCTTAAATTTGTTTTAAAGTGTATTACAATTTTGTACATTTGCAATATTGATATTAAAGTTTATGTTTTATATTGTAACCTGCCTTGGGAAGACTTGCCTTTAAAGGCAGTTAGTAAATAAAAACTTTACAGGTGAACAACAAAGAACATATGAATTACATTAGTTGTACAGCTGATAGCTGGATAACACCTTAGCCATCTTTCAAGACTGCTAGTCCTGAATATGAAACATACAATAGGAAATACAACTAATTCACAAAGCCATAATATGGCTTAAAACAAATTTAACAACGAGCAAGATAACATGTGCATATATAAAAATGATCATGTCTTACAGTGTAGACTGAGAACACTCTACAGATCAATGAAGTGGCTGCTTCTGTGCATTGACGACTTTCCCATCAGCTACCTTGAGTCCCTCTGCCTCTCCTTTTGTACGTTTTTCTGTAGTGAAGAGTCTGGGCTATGTTAAAAACTGCTAAGGATCAGGAAACTGCCATACAACCCCCACATATCCCTACTGCAGTTGTAACACTGTCTTCTTTTTAAAAATCATTTTCGTTAAAAGGGCCTTTTTGGGAGCTAATTCTGGCAGAAAATTGGGAAAAATATGACACTCAAGATCTTTGAGTCATATGACAACACTGGTCATTCATAAAGGTTTTAGAAAAGAAAATGGAATGGGATTATATTCGCGAATATTTACAAATGTTGCTAGCTTATCTGTAAATTCTCACTAACATGGCATCTCAGGACATTATGTGCACATGTGCATATGTGTAAGTATCCATTTTTATATTTACAAAAATCTGCTCAGCTGCAACCTGAAAGTTGATGTATACATATAAAACCTGGAATAAAGAAAAAATCCCTGAATATCCTTGGATGGTACAGACTGAAACATTCTCTCTTTTAGGAATAGGAACCTCCTTTCCAACATTAGCAAATGTAAGATACAATCCTAAGCATTTTTAGACAGAAAAAGTTTGTACAATTAGAATTCCACAGGTGATATGGCTGGCTGGACAAATCTGGGAAGCATAGGATTTTTTTTCTGTTCAAGTATGCACAGAATGGCACCTTTACATACGTAAGCAAAATGGTCTTTGTTGTATTGCAACATCTGAATACAGCAAAACACAGGAACTTTTTTTTAAGAGAAAGTGTTAAATTCTTGTCAGTTTGCCTTGGGAAAAAGGATTAAATATTTGCATTAATTGCAAACTTAAGTAGGCGTTTCTAAAGCCCATTCATTTCTCTGAAAAGTTAATTTGCAAAAGTTAATAATCAGAAGTTCCTGATTATCTTTGAAATCATCTATAAAACTGAATACTTGAGGGCATGTTCAAGTACATATCTAATTACCAAGTTGTCATTTATAACTTTTTTCTGGCAGATGTTATGTAATTAAAGAGCATAAGGTAGTGGCACATTCAAAAGAAAGCAAATATGATAAATTTATAACATAAACAAGTATTCTTTTGAGAATTTATTTTATGGTTTTGGAAAGTATTTTTATGAAGTGGATAAAAAACAGTTTTAAAATGCAGACTGCAGAAAATGAACACCTATAGGACAATTTTGAAATGGACAATTGTTTCAGTATCAAATTTATCTATCTATTTTCAATATGGTGGAGTTTATGAAAGATGTAACACATAGCAATACTACTGTGGTTAAGAACATTATTTTATGATCCCATAAAATGGTCACACATTCTTGCCAATAAACTGGAATATACACTATTGAGTTTAAGTGTTTGGCTAAGAAAATGGGAAAGTTAATGAAACTAAAGGGCTGCATTCATTTATATGCTACTTCTTCATATAATGTCTACAGTTTGGAAAAAACAAATTAGGCCCTTCTATTCTGACATAAATGTTAAGCATGAAACTTTATAAACTTTCATTTTTACTTTTTTCTAGCTGCTCTGGTCAAAGAGAATTTGCAGAGGTGGGACTGAGTTGTGCATGTAACAGCTGTGTTGCAGGAACTCCATCTTCCTTCCAAGTCAGAGACCACTGTATCTCACTCCCCCACCTGCTTCTGATCTGTTGTTCAGATCCTTGGCAGACAGCAGTGGAGATTACTCACTGTGCTTGCCAATCTCTGTAAGGAGTGCATTCCTCTTAAAGGTAATCTCTGCTTCTGATGCAGAAGTTCCTGAATTCCAAGAGGTTGGTTGTAGGGTTTATTCTCTATTTTCTCTTTTCCTAGGGATAAGTGAGGGGTGTATTTGAATACATAGCACAAGCTTCCTACCACCAACAACCTCTGATCCACTGGCTGCAGGGACAAAGACAGGCAGAAATATCCACAAGAAAATAGTTTTAAAAGGAGGGGCTATAGCACCTACTTTGCCAGCATGGTATAAAGTTCGTGTTCCAGAAGTTTGTTAAAAGGTTCTCAGGTAGCAGAACTGTGAAAGACTCATGCCTGAAGCCCTGACAAGCTGGACTAATTAGGACAGGCAATCGTTAAGTAAGAAACAGAGGGCAATTTCTTATATAAGAAGCCATAAAATAGGAATTTAAATAAAATTTCCCATTGAGACACATTTTGGCACAAATCTGACAGTATAAATTTTCTTTTAAAGTATTATCTACACTGTTTCATTCTTACAACCAGGAATTGTGTATATTTGTTGCACTGCACACAGCACTTGCTTTTTAACCTATAGACAGAGTGTTTTCAATGTATTCTTATCCAGTTCTTCCTTACAAACAGATAGACACTTGTGAAATCAGATTCAGTACATAAGGAGGAGAGCAATGGGTAACACTGTCTTCCCGTCTTTCAGTACTGATCTTTTGTGCTTCACTCTGCCTTGCATGGTCCCCACAAACACAAGACAGCCAATTCAGTATAATGCTTCATTATCTGGCAATGTACCATTCCCAACAGAGTTATTTCAAGCACAAAAAATAGCTCTTACCATTGTGGCAGCCTGAGAGGCATAGTGACTACACAGCGATAAAGTTGAGGAGGTAAGGATAAAACTAAATATTATAGAGTATTTCAAGGAATGTTTTCTTGGTGTGTGTCAGAGAAGATGCATAGAAAAGATATGAAAATGTAGGTTGAAACTTCCCAGGAATTGGTGTCTCTATAGCCACCTAGTGGCAATATGACTGACCAGATCTGACCAGATCTCATACTTTTCTCAGTGACTCTCATTAGGTTACCATTTAAAAGCTTTACAGTGCAGTCCTACACATGCTTACTCAAAACTTAGTCTCACAGAGTTCATAGAGGTGGTATAAGATTACAACTCTATTGATTTTTGTATGCTATATATTCAAAATTGGTAAGGAAACTTCCAGAAACATGGACTGAAAGTTCACAAATGTAACTAGGGAATTCTGATTGCCTGTCCAACTCAAAAGAAGCAGGCATTACAAAAGGAGTTATAAAAGCTTACATGATGATTACATCCTTCCTGGAAACAGCATGGGTATACTCTGGTGGTACTTCATCTTCATCACTTTCTGATGATAATTCAATAATATCTTTCCGATACTTAAAATAAGATAACTGTGTTGTCCTCTTTGCTTCAGGGGTTTCTGGAACACTGGAGTCATCTTTGAAAGCATTTTGAATGAAGAATAAATATATTACACATAAACATAAATGTCCTAATTTTATGTGAAATTATTGTCTTTGTCTGCTTATCAATTTAACAAACATTATTTATGTATGATTACATAAAGTTGTAGTTATAAGTTCACATGACTTAATGATTATTGCTGTTTCTTTGTGAAACTTCCCACATTTAGTTTTATAGGCAAGTTTTGTATAAGGTCTCTTGTTAACTTTTCTTTCTGTTTCAGTTTTATTTATAAAAAAATGAAAAAATGGGAAAAATAAACACAAATGTCCTACTATAACTGACATTTCACCAGAATTTGTCATGCATAACAGTAAGCCAACTGGAAATGTACATTCATGGTTGCTTTTGAATAGTTTTATAAAACATTCTGTAATTTCAGGTAAGTATTCTATGTAGACTGCTTGAGAATGCCTATGTTAAAAAGAGGCATTACAATGAGATGAATTATATACAAAAATCTGGTCCTAATGACGACATCCTGAAATCTTCAAATTCCTATTAAAAATAGCTGCTGAACCCAATGGTTGCACAAGATAAATTGAACGAGTTTTACTGAAATGATGGCCTTGTAGGCTCACAAACTGGACTGCCTGTACAGCACTCTTTCGGCATCAAAGGGCTGGGCTACTGTGTCCTGCCTCACTCCTGTGGGGCAGAGGGGAAAGTGAAGAGAGAAATATAATGGTTTCCCCACTGTGTGGAGCCTAAACAAAAACAAATAGCAATCTATGGATCTTTTCAGGACTAGAAATATTCTGACCCTGGAGGCATGCAAGGCAAAATAGGAAAGACAGCAATGCACATGAGAACAGCAGCTGCAGAATGGGACTGTTGCCTGACAAAAGTTTATGGGAAATAAATTTAAAATCTGAAAGTGCTCAAGTGATACTTAATGGAAACGTCAATAAATCTTGAGCATTTATAACCTCAAGCAACTTACTGACACTGAAAACTACTGCAGAAAGTGAACTTTGAAGTTGGGAGGTATGACATGCCCCCTTGAGTTTTAGTCATAGTTTATTGCCAAATGGTAGCAAGGGCATATAGTTGGAGAGATTTACTGAGGTAAGGAGAAATGCAAATCAAGAAAGAACTTGCAACTTGGGCTTTGAATTAGAGAAATGCAGTAGATAAATAAATATCAGTTCTGTTTAAACTATTTTAAATTCTGTATATTGAAATTTTATGCTGTATTTTATTATTTTATCTGTGTGTTGCTGTGAACTAAGGAGCTGCTGCTACTGGATGGCGCAAAAGGAAAGTTGTCATCTTCCTCAATAGAAAAACGAGGCTGCATAGTTTAATTATCCAGTCATGGGGCTGCATGCCCTCCTGCCCCCATTATTCAATGGTGCACCTGAGCATCATCAAAGTCGTATTAAACTCAGCTTTGGAACACCTGCATTGGAGTATTTGAACCAGGCAGAAAAAGGTGGAAAACAGAGCTTCCTATGACAGCACAAGGGGTGGGTGTCCATGACCACATATCTGTTCCAATTCCTAACACATATTCATTGATTGCATGCATCAGTTCATAGTAATGAAACAAACTTTCCTCTGATATTATCCACACAGCTTCACAGACCAACTAGAAATTCTGATCTCTACCATCCAATAACCTTTAAATTCTTTAAGACTGAGCCAAATGACTTTTAAAGGGCAGCTATTTATGCAAACTTAACTGGCTAGTAATACAATATAGGTAACCCAGCTAGATTTTTCAGGTTTGAATGTCTGCCACAAGAAAAAATGTAGTTTTAAATTGGACTTTTATCTGCAGAAAAATCATGCTTCATACCATGGGTCCTCAAACTACGGCCTGCAGGCTGGATCTGGCCCGCCATGCCCATTTATCCAGCCTGCTTCAGAGGTTTTGGACTCACTGTGCCCGCGCCCACCGCCACAGCCTCGCTACGCATGCATGCCCCTGCCTCGCCTTGCCGCACGCATGCATGCGCTATCCCCCCTGCCCCCTCATGCCACCGGCACCGCCTTGCCAGTCCACACCCACCGCCAACACCTTTCAACTGGCCCCCTGTTGAAAAAGTTTGAGGACCCTGCTTCACACAATAGATTAAAATAATTATTCCAGGCAAATTTCCTAAATATATACACTTGCAATTAAGGCTGTTCAGAAGGAATATGCAGAAGGCAGAAAATAAGGATGTGAAGCATGTACATGGTGAACTGTGGAATACAATTGCTGTGCTATGTATGAGCCATGGTGGACTTTGAAAGTCTTATATAAAATTTTGGGCTGTATCTAATTTAAAAAAATGATTGGGAGAGCCATCAGTAGGCAGCTGGGAAGAGAAGTACCAGCTGTCTATTCACATTCATCAATTGAAAGTGGTAGGACAAATAAGAACCAGTATGCTGTGTACCATGACATGGCATGAATTACAAAATCAAGCACATTTTATTTATTTATTTATTTTTCAATTTATATCCTGCCTTTTTCCTACAAAGGGCTCAAGGCAGCTTACATCTCCTCCTCCATCTTATTCCCACAACAACAACCCTGTGAGGTAGGTTGGGCTGAGAGTCTGTGACTGGCCCAAAGTCACCCAGTTGGCTCCATGGCTGAGCGGGAACTAGAACCCAGATTGTCTAAGTCCCAGTCCCATGCTCTTAACCACTACACCACACTGGTTAAGAAGTATATGCGAAGTAATAGCTGGGGAAGGTCTAATATCAGTACCACCAGACAAAAGGACTTGTTTGATACACTACTTTAGGTTATTCCTAACAGCCTTTTACCAAAATATATGCACATAATGATTGGGTCCACATGATCAGGAATGGAACAGAAGCATTGGTGGCTTCTTTTAGTCATCTGTCAACATGACTTACACTGTTTCATTTCCATAATTAGATACACTGTACACAGGTTGCCATCCTGACTGAACCTGGACAGGGTAGGGCACAGAGGTGGTTTCCTCATTCTGTGGGGTGGTTTGGAAGCCACGCCTACAGCCAACCTTAGATGATATGACAATCTGCACTTAGTGCAGTTACAGAAATGGAACAATGCACAACTGGAACATGCAAAGGAAAGATACAAATGTGGCTTTTCCTCTCCCCTTCATAAAACACTGACACTGTTTTTAAACACTGGAACAAAGGAACAAGTACCTCACTAGACATTGGGGGGGGGGGATCTAACAAAGCACTTAAAAGTCAGCTTTTTAGCAAAAGCAAATAATACTGACTTGTATCAAACCACTGGTCTAATTTCATATTTGAGATCATTAGAAAATCTAGGATGAATACCATCTGAACTCAGTGATACATGAACTTTCAATTTGTCAATAAAGTCAAGAGCCATCTTTTGTCACTACTATTTGCCTCAGTTCCTCAAACTCCTTTTCTGAAAACATCAGCTCAGGTGCAGATAATCTGTTCTATATCTCCTACAGTGAAGACAGATGAAATGAAGTTCACTCCTCCTCCTTCAGTATTCCTTTAATTCCATTATCATTCACTAGTCCAACTGCTTTCCTATCTAGCTGTACACTTCTGAAATAAACAAGTTTTTATTATTGGCCTTGATGTTAGTGAAAATGTCCCCAAAATACGTTTTAAAAATTCTCTTATGGTGTGCTTGCATCTCCCTTGTGCAAGTTACTGCTCCATTTTGTTTTCCCCACTCAGACAAGGCTTCCATTACCCAAAGGAAGCCTTCTTTTCTCTAATTGCTTCCTTGACACTGCTTGTTAACAATGCTGGTAACCTCTTCAACTTGGCATTACCTTTCCTAGCTAAGCATCTATTATAGTGGGTTTGTGTCATTGCCAAACATTTTGAAGGGATCCCTTTTAACCTGCTTTTAATGTCTTAGAAAGTTTCTTCTTCTGAAATCAAATATGAGTATTTTGAAGATGAATGGTAATTTTCCATTTAAATATATTTTAAATCTGAAAGCACTGTGGTCACTATTTCCAATTCCATGCTAGGTTCAAGGCTTACCTCTTCTGAGTTTAGTTCCATGATCAACAGGACTATTCAGGGTGTCAAGATACTTATTGTGAATGGAGCATGTATCTTTCCAGTTAATGTGGGAATAATGGAAACCACCCATTGTTACAACACTTTCTCTTGCTGTAATGAGGTAATGGGAAAACCCTCCAACTGTCAGAAGCCACCAACTTTCTAGGACAGACCATCCTAATCTGTGCCTCAGTCCCACATGGCTCCAAGTCCCAGTAAGCGTAATCAGTTGGCTGCTGTGATCATGCAAAGCTGGTCTTGGTTAACATCCGAACTTGGTCTCTTAGCTTGTCACTCACAAACAGCTAAGAATCAATTAACCAAGAACAAATCCAGCTTCACAATTCTGGCTTGCAGGGAGTAATAAATCAGAAGTACAAATTCAGATCTATCACTAAACATTTGTTGGTGAGCTCTTGATCCTGCTAGTGTAGGAATGGACAATCTGTGGCCCTCCAGAGTTTTGAACTTCAACTCAAGCCAGCACAGCCAATGGAAAATGATGGGCGACGTAAGCCAAAATTTCTGTAGGGCCACAAGTTCTTGGCCTGAGATAAGTGCAAGCAATCTTGTGGGAACAATCATACTGCATGCATTAACACACAGCTTGTGAACAATATTCTGAAGCAGTGATGTTCTTTTTTTCCAATCCATAAAAAATACAGCAAGTCTAAGCTTGAAATAACTATTATAAGAAAACACATGATGTGAGCACCTAGGACCACATGTTTTCCATGTATACGCTCCAACTCCTGGACCAAATGATGACCAATGATGGTTTCCATTATTCCCAATATTTTAAACAATCATAGTTTACATGTCTGAAGTGATTGCCAGGTGAATAAACCATGAAGAACATGCCAGAAGACACCACTTCCTGCTACCACTTCCAGGTCTTGGGTTGATCAAGGCTTGAGCTGAGAAAGATAAGTGTGTTTGGGATGTTCAGAACTGTTTCAGAACTGATGCAATCTACTTCTGCTGACACTGAGAAAATACACGGCCATATCTGTGGTCAAAGTCCAGTGATGTGCTTTGACCACAATGTGCTTCAATGTGCTTCATGTAAGCTATTTGTTGAAATCATGTTGCTGTGAAATATGGCAATTGTGTCCATTTTTTGTAGATGTTGATTTTTACTAGGCACATGAGCAGACTCATGATCCTTTATCAATCTACTGAAATAATCTTTGGAGGCTTTCCTCCAGGCAGTCTTAGTTTCCCTGTCAATTGTGGATGGTGACCATTTTCTGTAATAGCATGCCTTTTGAGGAATGCCATGCCTGGGAAGACCTACTTAGATGAAAACACTGTTATCTTTTCACCACAATTTTTATTTTCCTATGTTTAACACATTAATGATTTTTTTCAAAACACATACATTTTATTTGTATTGAATCCTGTTTTTGTAAATTATCTTAAGAAGCTCTGAAGGAGATACAAACGTATTTTAAATAAGAACTAAGAAACAAGCAAGCAGTGAAAGTCAATTAGACCCAACACACCATTCTTGTAAGTGCCATTTATTTGCTTTGTGGCATATTATTGAGACACTGATTTTTTTCCACAGTTGTATTGTTCTGCTGAAAAAGGAAAGTTCTCAGCAAAGTATCAATTTTTATGGTTTTCTTGATTTATAACTGACCCCCAAACCAGACGGATGCGAGCCCTATGCAGATGTTCACTTGCTCATGTGTAGAGCAGAAATGTGGCAGGTGATATGCGCAAGTGCCTAAGGCCCACCCCAGCATACCTCTAAAACCTTTTCATGTATTTCCTGAACGCTGCAAATGTGACCACTACATTATTTTAATTTAGAAAGTATTATTTAAACTGGGCTAGTTCATATGATGTGACAAGAAACTGTGGGTTATTTAGCGATTATCACTGAACAATACAGTGACTCAGAGCTAAATTCATATGTCAAATAGAATGTGTAGTAGTAAAAGCAACAATGGATACCAGCACAGGATAACTTGAATATATCAGTAAGTTCTCTGGCTTGTTTCTCTGCATCATGACTCATTGTAGCAATGTGTTCTTATGATTTTTAAAAACAGCTGTATTTTACATATATAGTTACTAGGTTTGTTTCACTAGCATTTACTTGCATGTTCTTAATCAGTCTAGACTTCCTGAACATCAGTGACAACACAAGCTTTGAAATCAGAGTATATGAACGACTAATCCACCCGTAGGAGTAGCATACATGTAAAAGAGTGATTAAAACAATGATCTTGAAAAAAGTATGAGAATTCAGTATTTAAGCATACAGAGCCATAAAAGTTATTGCAAAACAAAGCTGCCACATTGCTGTTAACACTGCACTGCCATATAAACTGGGGCTGAACACCAAATCAGAACAACAAGAACTACATGAAACACTCTTTTACAGACAAGAACTATATACAGACAAGAATATGCTAATATGGAAAGGGTTCCTCTCAGTGGAAGTATCACAAGTTTGCGATACAAATTATCAATGATCTGAGCATAAAACAGAAAGTCTGCAGGGGCAAACACACACAAAACTATACACAAATCCAGGTCAGAAAATGACATACATGAGTTAATTCTCATGTTACGTGAGGCTGAACTGCAAATCTCTGCAATCATGAAAGCCAATATACCATGAAGAAGAATCCAATTGTGTTCATTTACATAGGCAGGCTATGAAAAACTGGATCAAATGAAATAGCATTTGTTCAGTAGAGTCCCACCGAAGAAAGTAAAATGTCAGATACCCGAACTGTTTTTCCATGGGTCAGTCGCAAATTCACCCTACCTATAACCCAATATGCAGTATCTTTCTCTCCCAACGCACCTCTCTCCAATTTCTAGACCAGTCTTTCCAAATTTCATGCCATCTTTTCATGCCAGCTTCCATTATTCCCATTAGAAGAGGAAGATCAAATAAGATCTTATGGATTGACACCATAAAAGAAGTCACAACCTTGGGTTTACAAGAGCTGAGCAGGACTGTCAGATAGGACATTTTGGAGGACATACATTTATACAGTTGCCATAACTTGGAGATGACTCACAGCATATAAGAACAAATTATACATATTCAAAGGAGAGGGCCTCTTTTGCCAGTCTAACTCTGGGATTCTTGACTGGTGCTGCTGGGAATAGAAAAGCCTGTTATTTTTGGCACACTTTCTAGGATAGGGTGGCACCAACTCTTTAGATGAGGACTGGGAAGGCTGGGAAATACGGAGTGTGGGAATTGAGATGGCAGAGGAGGGTGAGGTTAACTCAAGACTGCAATCTCCAGGTGCTCAGGCAGACCATGGGAACTGATAGAACTTGGAAGTGAAGGAAGGGTACAAGGGAGAAGAGGAAGATGAACCCATATGCAGTCCAGTCCCTGACCTCATGATGGAGCATCTGGTTAGAAAAGCTACCCTATTAGAGGGCCAGTGGAGATCTAGGAGGCTAGCCCTTCTTTGGAAAGGCCTACCTAGAAGGATGGAGCCCAGGATTACTAAAGGAGAGTTTTCAGAAGCAGTTTCTAGTTTTGAGTTCAACAAGTCACTTTGTTCATGCACAGAAACCAGTCTTTCAGTAGCTACTTTGTTAGCTGCAAACGTGGAACAAACCAGCTATTTTGCAAAGACAATGCCTGTTATTTGTAACAAATAAGGGGAAATCCAGCTCCTGACAGGTGCTGATGCTAAATACTTATTGGCACCAGAATATCTTCCTTCCTTAGTAAACCTGGCATAATAGATGAAAATCTGTTCAGTTTTATGCTTTTCTTCTTTTTAAAACTATATATTCTGTTTAATTGCCAAGCTATATTCTGTTGTGTTAATTGGCTTTTTACAACAATCTATTTTTATTGTTTGTATGAGTAGCTTTATTCACATTTTTCTGCACTGTCCTGGGATCCTCTGCACGAAGGGCATGGCTCACTGAGGAATGTCAAATGTCTTCTGTTTAAACAAGCAAAGGACAGTATTCCTTTGTATTTTAAATAGTTCAACAAGTACATACCCTGAAGAAGGATTTTGGAAAACACTGATAATCACATCTGAATAATTAAATATAAAGGACATAATATTAAAAGGCCTGCTGGATCAAACTATCTACTGAAGCATCCCGGTTTGCACAATGGCCAATCGGATGTCTATGCAAAAATTAAAAGTTGTTGTTCACCAGCAACTGGTATTCAGTGTTCCCGCTGCAGAAAACCACAGAAGTTGTTTCACTAGACTTCTTCCATATCATTTAACTTATGATTATACTTCAACAAGATGTCGCTAACTTGTTAAAAAAATTAAGAACATAGTTTAGACCTCAGATGAGCTTAACTTCTGTGTAACACTGTGATAATAAAACACTGCAAGATTTTCTAATAATTTATGAATTAAATAAACAAAACTTACCAGTTTTCTCTGACACATCAGATACTGGTGTGACTGGCCTGATACTATGTTCAGTAATATTGTCATCTTTCTCACAAATAGGAATAGCATGATTTTCAGAAGCAGAAGGAAGTGCAACATCTCTATCTACAGCATCCAGAGCAACAGAAGTAGCAGCTTCCTCCTGATGTGCAGGTAGGCCAAGCGACTGAGCATTCTCTTCCTCAACTTTTCTCTTCTTTTCAAAGCGAAACCGGTCCAAATTAAACAGACTCATTGTATTAGCCTTTCACTTCTACCACAGTTCACAGAGTTGAACTTTACAGTCCGTGAGAATGACAATGGCACCATATAAGTTTATCTGGAAAGCAAGCAGCAGGGTATAGGTGAAAGACAGTGTCAGACCTATAGAATATGATGGAAGGCCCTGAGTTCTACAGAACTGATCCTATTATTGCTTTATCTAGCATGTGACACTGCTGACCATAAAAAAGCAATGACCTGTGCAATCATCTGGCTCCTTTTCACAGTCCTGCATCCTTCCCTATGAAGTCTCGCATAGTTTCACTTTGTCCCATTCCTATCTGAAATGTGCACAAATCACTTGGCAAGACTATACAGGGGTCTGGAGTCAACTTGAAATAAGCTCCTCATATACAGATCTACATCTTTCATCAACCAAAGTTATGCAGTCTATTAACTCAGTATCAGGTTCTGGTATTGAACACATATGAGTAAACCATCTCAAGCTACAATTACATACAACTAAAGTGACTCAAGTACAGGGACACCCACAATACCTTATGAAAGTGTGTGTGGTGGGAGACACATAAGTCTGTGGTTTTCAGTGTACAGTGTTGCGATAGCTTCAAGGTCAACATGTCATAAATTTTGTAGTGCTAAAATTATTTCATACATTTAGCATTATCCTTGGTTATCATATATTGTAAGAATGATGCATACATCCCTTCTTCTGTCTGTACTGTGTATTATATCAAGCTATTCTACAGAAGGATGCCCCACCTGGATGCTTCAACCCATGCAAAATGGAACTTGATCATTAATTCCAATTCTATCAGGTCTACTCAGAAGTAAGTCCCACTGCATGCAATGGAATGCATTCCCAGATAAATTAGTATAGGATTGCAGCCTATGACTGCATTTCACTGGTATTCTGGCATTTCCATTACTGGTCTCTATATAATTAAATTCATGATAAATAATTCAGAACCATTGATCATCCTGAATCCTACATATCACAGCAACTATTTTCAGCATTAAGCTCTATCAAAAGATTACAGTCATCACTTTCTTGACAGAACCAAGTCTGTGCATACCCAGGTAATGCTGAATTAGTGTAAAGTAATTCTTCTGGGCCAGCCTCAGAACTATGGGACTTCATTTTCCTATACACTTAACAAATTATAGTTTGCCTGCCTTTCAAATGTGGCACTCCATGGAGTAGTTTTCAAATGCTATTTTCTCATGCTATTTAGATCAAGGTTTTAGTGTGTCACAAACTAAAGGAAGGAACTTGATCTAGCAACTCAGCATGAAGTTAAGCTGGACCCCTATATCCGGGCAGGTCCCTTCAGGTCCCTGTCCCTTCCCCCACCCACTACCTTGAAGTTATCTTAACAACCTGCTCACCCCTTAGTCAATCAGACGCCTATGACAAGCACAGAGGATACCAGAGCTACAGAATACGGGCAGAGAGGAGTATACCTTACATTTCCCTTTATTAAACACACTCCCCCCGCGCAGCCCTTCATTCTCCTTCCATAATCCATCTGGCTTTAATCCCGACCATGCCTTGAGAGCTTACTTTCAAACACTCCTCTCTCTGTACTGAAAATCCCCCCTCAACTCTCCCCGCCCCTCCCTTTTCATAATCACCACACAATAGTTGTGGCCTTTCCCTGCCACCATCTTCTCTCACGGCCTTGCGCGCACATCCTCCCCATCCCCTCACTTTCCTTGGAAGCCGCCAGTGCGGCCGCCTGCCTCCTCCTGCTCTGGACCCCCGTCCGCCTCCTCCTCCTCCTCCTCCTCTCCCCCCACCCACGCCTTAAGCTCCCCGACGCAAGATCCTCCTCGGAACTTCTCCCGCACGAGCATCCCAGGCGCCCGCCCGCCCGCCCGCCGGGCCACCCTTCCCGCGGCTTGCACCGCACTGTGCGTGCGAGAGCCAGAGAGAAGCGAACAAAGGGGAGACGCGGCAGGGAGAAACCGGCGCAGCCAGCAGCCTCCACCCCCGCGCCCACCCCTCCCCCACGGCTTCCTTACCCCGCCCCCACTGCGAAGAGGCGCGAGCTTTCGGAGCGCCGGCGCCGGCACGCGGCGGCACAGCGAGGGGGCGCCGAGAAGAGCCGCGGGGAGGGGGCCGTGGCGGCCGCGGCGGCCACAGCAGCGGCGGCGGCGAAGACGGCGAGCAGGCTATGCGAGAGGCGGCCCCTCAAAGCATCGAAGGATGCAAACACCTCTGAGGGTTATGGAGGAAAAAAAAGGGAGAGGGAGGAAAAAGAGGGCGCTTGCTGATGACCTCACGAAGCTTGGCTTTTTCCCAGCATCCTTTTCTAGCTTCTGCTCTCGGCCGAGGACAATGTTCTCTGGGCGGGCGGGCGCGCGCGCGCACAAAGCGGGAGCGCGCCTGCCAGCCTGCCTGCTTGTATTGACGAGCGGTTGGCAAACGCCGGTCGCGGGAAACGTCTACGGAGCTCTCGCGGTGCGCATGCGTGAGGGTGACGGGACGGCTTGGCTCGCGGGAGCCGGCTTGAAGGTTCGAGGGGTGGCTGCGGCGGCGCCCTGCGCAGGTCTCGGAGAAACCCGGGGCATCCTGCGGGGTGGACGCGCCTTACATGCACGGCGAGCCTGCAGTGTCATGAATTACTGCTGTGCAGGGACGGGACAAGATCGTTCAGTGGCCCTGCTGGGCTTAAAATAAATTGTGCCATCGCAGGAACACCCAGTTTTGCCACAATCATTTGCACAGAAAAGATAATCTAGACGAGCACTTATTAAATAAACATTTAGTACAAATGTTTGCTCTGTTTTGTTTTGTTTTTGCATTGAAAGCATTTGACAGAGGTACTCATCTAAAATATAACAAGTTTTGTAACCCTGTTTTAGCATTTCATATTTTAATAAATCTGGAAGGTCCCCAGAAATGGAACTGGCGGCAGCCTCTCTTGATCTCAAAAGTGGACGTACAGAGCAAAGACTGGGGAAAAATGAATGGCACATGTCCAAGGGGTGGTGGGGAGAGAATAATTCTGTAATGCTAAGCAGTTCTCTGGACTTCATATGCGACAGAAGAACGGAAAGTATACCTGTATTTTCTAAATGGGGAAAAAAGGAATTAAAGTGCAATCCTATGCCTGTGTAGACAGAAAAAATTTGTCATACAGCTCCCAGCAGCCTTGCTGGCAGTTGCTCCACCTTTTTATGTCTAAGCATGTAGAGAATTGTAATGTGTTGCCTATGTAAATAAAAATTAAAAACAACAGTAAGATGTATAAATTCATCTTCAGATACTAGAAAAAAGCAGGGAAGTACCAATTTCCTGGCAGGAATGGGATAGGGTAAAAAGATGTACTTTCAGGTTGTCACACCACAGTAATAGAAGGATTAACCGACCTGTACTTGCGGAAATTCATTTCTGCGTTCAATTTTCCTGTCCTCTATTGCAACTGGAAGGCCCACAGTTTCATAATCTGACTTCAAGACAAATGGCAGTTTAATACTGCTGCATAAGGGGAATGCAGCTTTTCTTGTTTAGAGTGGTGGATCAGCTTGGTTTGTACCCATGACAGAGGTCACCTGTCTGTGTTGGAGTCCAGGCTGAAATAAGCATTGTCCAGGCCAGAACTGCAAAATACGGCCTCAAACAATTTCTGGCAGTCCAGCAGACCCTCTCGCACCTGTTGCCACCTCTGAAAATATTGTGGTAGCACTCCCTGAGTTTTCCTGTGTTAGCATTAGCTATAGCATCTGTTCCATACCTCAGATCTCTAATGAGAGGTCAATGATAAGGGATTCTTTGCTAGGGCTAGCTATGAAAAGCCTGGAGCTTCTCTTCCCAGCAAGGGAATTTCATCCTTTATCTCTGAACTTGCAATAGAGATAATGGATTCCTTTCTTAACACAAACCACAGTAAATTCTCCACCCTGCTAATTTTGTGTTCATGAACACACATCTTCATTTATGTGTTTCTGATGTGTGTGTCAGTAAGTGCACATGGTCTTGGGTCTGTACCAGTGTGGATTCATCTGTAACTCTCTAGTGTTGCCAGCTGTGGTCCTAAATGGCCAAATGGTTTGTGAACTCCTAATCCAGGCCCCTGCAGCTTTCCCTGACATGGTGCCTTCCTGGACTGCAACTCCTAGGAGTCCTGATTGGCTGAGGCTTCTAGTCTAAAACATTGCCAGGCTAGGAAAGATTGGTTCAAAGTAAAGCAGAGCTTTACCTTGGATTCCAAAGTATTGGTACCTGAATGGAACTTGTACTAGGTAAACGAGGTGGAGCTTGGCGCCCTTGTGCAGCAACAGAACTAATAGCCATCATCATCCTCATCCTGATCATCCTGGGCTGACCCTCTGTTTGTGTTCAGATGAACAAGCCATGTATCAGAGGAAACTTTATAGCTGGCACTGCCAAATTTCCACACTGTTCTGCCACCAGACAAAGGACATAACCCACAGAATTCTATAATGCTTGTTGAACAGTCTGTACATTCTGCAGAAGATAGAAGAGATTCTGAAGAAAGACAACAGGGTATTGGAAGGAACACAGTGATGGGGTGAATGATAAAGAAATCCAGGAAGAGAGAATTAATGTGAAGATTACATATTAAGAAAACAGGACAGAATACAAACAAGGCAAAGCATGTTATATGCTGAAAAGAAGTAGTAGAAGTTTGGATAATACTGCAATAGATGGATTATAATTTTTACATTGTTTTGAATTTGAAAAGACTGTACACAGTGTTGTTATGGTTACAAGAATTATAGTTTCAGAAGGCTTGTAAATAGGCTAAAAATGGTTGAGAGATCAGGTGCAGCAGCCAAGAACTTTCTGTGGGAAACCAAAAAGTCAACGTTTTTGTTAGTGATTTTGTTTGGTACCGGCATAACAATTCAATGAGCAAAAATAAAATAGTATCTTAAGAGAAAAATGTAAGGAAGGAAATTTGTTGCACATTAAAGAGCTGCAATATTAGGAAGAAATGCATAGACTGTTCAGCATATCTTTTTGGAAGATCGGCAAATCTACATTTTCCCCAGTTCAGGCAACAAATGGCTGAAGTTAGTGCACTAAATGACTATTTCAGCAGCAATTCCTGAAATAAGTGTTGTTATAGTAAACCAGAATTAAGCAGCTGTGATACACCCAATGCAGTAGTGACTAATCACAGCTCCATTGTTTTCAATGGGTCTTTTCTAAGTATTGTAAGCCAATATCCAGTCAGTCCCTTATAAGCGTTATCGTGTTCTCAGTACATATAAGGGTGGATTGCTGTTCCTGTTTCTCAGATGATGGTCTTCGCAGTTTGCCTAAACCCATGTAATATATCTGAGGCAACAGTAAAATTTGAATTCAGCTGTAGAACTGAGAGTAGTTCTCAGAATAGTTCTCAGAGATACAGTGCGGTGTAGTGGTTAAGACTGTAGGACTGGAGTCAAGTGAGCTGGGTTCTAGTCCTCACTCAACTGGGTGACTTCTGGCCAATCAAAGATTCTCAGCTCAACATACCCCAGAGAGCTGTTGTTGGGAGGATAAGATTGAGAGCAGGAGAAGGAGAATGATGTGAGCTGCTTTGAGTTTGTTGTAAGGAAAAAAGCAGGCTATAAATCAAATAAAGAATAAAACAAATAAATAATTCTTGAGCTCTGAAACTGATAGTTTATGATTGCAGTAGGCCCATATATCTACTAAAAAAGCTCTTAAGGCGGCTTATAAATTCCTAAAAACATCTGAATAGAAGTGTTAGGGATAACGAGGACATTAAAGGCACTAGAATTAGCGATGAAAGTTATAAATTGCAAGCATTCACAGATGATTTGGTCTTCATAATGGAGGAACCCTTTGTAACAATGTCTAAACTTTCACAATGGATTGAAGAATATGGTGAGGTTACGGGAATTAAAATAAATAGAGAAAAAATGAAACTGTTAGTTAAAAACTTTACACAAGACCAAAAAAGAAAGACTCCAGGAACAAGTAGATTTGCAGATTGTTAAAAAGGTTAAACACTTGGAAATCTATCTTACAGCCAAATGTACTACTTTGAAAGAAGATAATTGTGATAAATTATTAAAGGGTATTAAAGCTGATTTAGAAAAATGGGCCAATTTACAATTATCTTTGATGGGAAGACTAGCACTTTTTAAAATGAATATATTACCTAAATTTTTGTTTTTGTTCCAAATAATTCCCATAAAAATTGATTAAAAATTCTTTGATGACCTAAACTTTCAAATTTTGAGATTCATCTGGAGAAAAAAGAAACCAAGGATTAAATTAAAAATGCTTCAGGAAGCTAAAAAGAATGGAGGTTTTTGTCTTCCTGATTGAATGTTGTATTATCAAGCATCTGTTTTAATTTGGCTAAAAGAATGGATTACTTTGCGAAATAAGAGAATTTTGTATCTTGAAGGTCATGACTTGCAGATGGGTTGGCATGCTTATATGTGGTACGAGAAAGCTAAGTCATTAATGTCAGTGTGGGAAAAAGTAAAGTTAAAAGTGTATAATAAACTACCAAGATGGCTTTCACCTATGGAAGCTTTTGTATATCCAAATGTATTGAAGGGATCATAAGATATGATGATATTTTGGATAAGGACGGTGGCCTGAAACTAGATCAAGAAATACAAGAACAGGGACTTAATATCTCCTGGTGGTATAAGGTGCAGATGCAATTGAGATATGCTAAAGATTGTAAAGCATGGGGGTTTTACAAAGACTTAACAGCGTTTGATCAGGTGATGCTTAAAACAGATGAG